GTATTTATCCATTTGTTTTTCAGGTGAGCGGACAGTGGTCCAGTGTTTTGTTGGTGTATATTTAATATACTTCTAATCGCTATTTCAATCTTTCTATCTTTCTAATTACTTCTCTCTCTGTTTTTCTCTCTGTCTCTATTTTCTCTTCACTTAAAAAAGTCACTGATGATGAAGAAATAAATAAACTAAATAAATTAACATTTGGTTTCGTTTTCTACTGAAGTGACACAAAAAAAATGTACCTGGACTTTTTGAGAATATTTTAATCGGAGGGATGCGACTGCATATCAGCTGTAACTGTAACTAGCTAGCTAGTTTTATTCAGAGGCGATTGCTCTAAGACTGCAAGGGAAGCTCAGCTTCCCCTAAAATGTAAAAAAATAAGTGATTAAATGCACACTGTTGTGTGTACATGTCATTGACTAAATATGTGCTACAACGCGCTCAACTTTTGTTCAGAATTAGCTTCTTATCATTGGTAACGACGTAGCTTTCCTCTCCCTCATTCCCGCAGCTTCACCGTGCTTTAAACAGTCGGACGCTGAGTGTCTAAAGACTTCAATAATGAAGAAAAAAAATGCAGCGAAACGAGACGAGTCATTGGATAAATGTTGGACTTTGTCCCGCCCCCGGACGCTCAGTGTCTCTGGGGGTCTATGGAGCAGTGGGCGGGTTCGGACGCCCAGATTCTGCATGAATGGATGATCTGTCTGAGCCTGAATCCCTTTTTGATTGACAGCGAAATGAGTGAATCAGAGATGTTTTGGTGTAAACATTCAGTGGGAGCAGTTTTTAGTTTTGTTTCTGTTCTGAGCTGAACCGGAGACTTTCCTAATCGTCTTAGCGGCATTTTCTGTTAAAAATGACTAGTAACAAATCAAGTTTTTATTTCTGGTGGGTTTTATTGTATCTTCTTGTGTTTGGAGACAGACCTCTATCACTCTTTTCTGACGTCTATCATAGTTTCTGTCCAGCGGGTGCGGCTGAGCCCCTCCGCCATCACAAAGCACTCAAAGGTGGACACACTTCACTCTAGCCTCGCACCAGTCCCAGCTAGCGAGTTAGCTAGGTAGCAAGCTGCACATAATGGCAGAGAGTTTGAATATTGTGGACCGAATTTTGGAGAAGCCATTTGATACAGTTTTGTTTACAAAGAAAAACTTAGAGTTAAACAGCAGGGCCAATCAACTCCTCAGATTAGTTTGGTGCAAAAGGTGGGGAAACGTAAGATAAAAAAAACATTTTTATTGATCCCACATTGGGGAAATAACAGGTCTTTTCAGCTGTCCTGGTATAACAAAGTGAACTGGCTGCTGTAAAAGATCTGGAAAATGATTATAAAAGCATTGGATCAATTCCTTTAAATAAATATCATCAAAACAAAATTGTCAAAGAAATATGAAATTGTTTAATTTGTATTTGTATGAGTCACTGCTTGAGGAGTTCAATTTTTTGTTTTATTATTTGGTTTATTGTTTGAAATTAATATTTTTTTGTAATTAGGAGCAGATATCAAGATCTTTTTCTTCTGCTGCCTTTCATTTTATTTTATTTGTATTGTTTTGTTGTATGTAGTGTTTTTTAAAGGAAATGAATAAATACTTTAAAATAAAAAAAGATCTGTGACATGGTCACAGAGCTTTTTCTTGAAAAGGAAATTTTCAATTTATAACCCACACATGTAGGCTGACGAAACTGACTCCTCTCCTTGAAAGACCAGCATCCGCCAGATTTTATTTGTACACCCACGCGGGTTAATTTGTTTTAGAAACACAAAGCAGTAAAAAAAAAGAGAGCAAATAACATATGCTAATAACATATACAGGCAATTATCAACTACTAATATGTATAAAAGGTTAGAATTACCTCGGTGTCCAAGGTTTTAGTAATCCAGCGATGGAAGCAGCCATCTTGGAAATGTGAGCGTCTTAGGACCCCAGTTTAGTACGTCCTGAATATGCCCGATAAACAAGTAAATAAAATATCTTGTTTTAAGAATCCGCCCACTCGTTTGGCGAAGTCCTGTTAATATCCAGTTGAAATATTTGAATGTGTTTTAAGTAGGACATATAATGTGTTTTATGTGAATATAAATACTTTATTTGTGTGCACACACGCCGATGACATCATACAATGTTTTTACCATAGACCGCCGTAATGGTTTTTCAGTGCCATGGCGTACCACGACGACAAAGACTCGCTGGAGGCATGGCTCGGTGAGTAATTTATACTATTTCATGAATAAATGACATGCATAATAGAATGCTCTGTCAGAGTGAACGGGAGAGCATTGCAGAGCAGCCGACAGTCGCTTTCCTGCTGTTTAGGGACTGGGGCTGCGCACCAGAAGGAGGCTGGATGGGGGGAGAGGGGGTCTGAGTGGCTCTGTCCAGAGGTTCACTGCGGCTTGCAAGGGGCAGGGTGGGCTGTGGAAATAATGTAAAAAATAAAATAATAATAATAATAATAATAATAATAATAATAATAATAATAATAATAATAATAATAAAAGGCGCCTTCAGTTATTGAGCAGAATAATAATGATATATACTCAGTTGAAATTAAATATTGTACTCAAGCATAGTGATTTTAATCCAATACATCTTTTGATTTAAATCCACTTTTCAGGACAAAATATATCATTTTGTAACAAAAGATATAGATACAAAATACTAGGCTATTTCATATTTCATATTCATAAAACAATTCATTAAATTGTTACCAGTTTCTTCACTAAAATATTTGTAAAGGTGTGTTCCATTAAAACGTTGAAATTCAACTCCAGAGAGAAACACTGAAAAAACCTGCTCAAGTTAGAGTACCAATAAATGAGCATTGTGTAATTTATAAGGGGTCCAATCAGGATTTTTTTTCATGATTCTGAGTTGATTGTTAGTATTTTTATGTCACCAAAAACACTCCACTGTCACTTTTACATTCAAAATAGCTTTTATTTCACATATCAGTGGTGGGCTGTCAGGGCCAGCAAAGTCTTCGCTGCTGGTCTAAATACAATCAGAATCACTAGCTTACAGTTTAGTTATTATTTTTTTATTATTATTAAATGATCATTTCTCTTCGTTTCACACATACATCTATAATTCTGAATTATTTCTCATTCAAGGGCCCAAAGTGGGGCTGGTCAGTCCGGGGAGTTGAACGAATGGTCTTCCAATCACAGGGTCACCTTCTCTAACCTCTGCACCACCACTCCCCATGCGGCTTTGTCTGCATCTCTGTCCCTACTTCAGCTGCTCTCTCAGCATTGACCAAGTCATCTACTGTGCTTGTGAATCCTGTAAAGAAAGACATGCACATCTCATTGTCTTAGCCATTGTTGAATGGCATGTTCTGTAGGGCAGGTTCAAATGCCTCTGCTTTTCRCTTCGTCTGTGTCTAACCCTAACCCTCTGTAGTGGAACATGTTTCCTGATGTCTTCATCCACTGGTTGATGTCAGAGAGGTGACTGAGGGTGAGCACCCAGCACTTCTAGCCAGAAACAGTTTCTCAATCTTTCTCTGCTCAGTCCACCGTCTGACCTCGCTGCCTTCATTGATGTCTGCTCAATGCAGATGTTACACCAAGTGCCAGACCACTCAGGGGAGGAGTACCTGTCAGTGCCTTTCTGTGGGCAGTGAAATGTTTTCTAATGTGTCTTTGTAAGTAGGTAAAGTTTTGACATCCTTGATGAGTTGAAAGTACAGCCATGCACCCTTGGTGTATTGATGATGRCCTTCAGCAGCAAAGATGTCAAGCATCTTGTTAATAATGCACGAGAGATGCCCATTGTGGTCTGCAACTTGCTTGGTTCTGATAAAGACCTTGATCACCTCTACCATGTGTTGGTACTGTACTCAGAGTGCAGGTGTTCTTCCGTCTTTTGTGAGTTGTTTGAAGATTTCTTCAAATGTCTRCTCAAATACTGCAAATACTATGTGTGCATAGCTCCCATCAGCCAACTTCTCCATGAAGGTGGTCCTTATGTCACCACGTTCCTCCTCRATGACTGCAATGACAGTTTCGTGATGTGCTGATAGATGGCTGCATTGATGAGGAAGGGAGCACAGATTACCTGTCGTACTTCCAGAATAAATCAATGAAAACACCTCTAGTAGTCCAGAATCCTGCATGATGTTACCCATTGGTTCAAGCAGTGAAATTCACCAACCTTGCAATGACCGGTAGACTTGCCTGCTTTAGGATGTCCACGGTCTTCACCCAAATCTGAAGTTCAAAGGTCACCATTGTGACTCTGTCAGCAGAGTCTGCACACTTTGAGAGTGGTAGAGATGGTGTTAAGGTCATTAGAGTCACCTTCAATGACTGTGAGGAAGTCAGTCTGTGTGATCTGCTTTGCATCATATGCATGGATACTCTTCATCCAGCCGCTCTAGTTGGAGTGTGAAGTCAGGATCCTGGGTTTTTTGGTCACCCACCCTGCTGCCCAGAGTGTGTCACCTGGAGTGAGGAGTGTCTGGCCATGAGTCAGGGAGGAGGAAAGCTCAGTGATGAGGAGAAATGGGCTGGTGTTTATTCCTGTTTGTTTCTTGTTGGTGAAAGGAAGATCCTTCACTTCACCTCCTCACAGGATCTTAGCTTTGTTGAATGCGTTCAGCTTCACCCTGGAGACAGCTGCAGATGTATCAAGACAAAAAGAGTCATCATATGCCCATTGTGCTACTGTAGATTGGCATATATTGCATCATACAAATCACAGCCTTGTGAACTGAATTGAGTCTAAATCGTATCATAACAGGCTTTGTGAAATCAAGAAACATTGTATCTTCATTCAAACAAATCAATATAATATGGTATTATGATGAAGCTGGTCATTTACAACCTTATAAATGACGTGATTTGATGAGTTCAAACACTTACAATTAATGAAAATGCATTTTATTGACAGAAAAAGCCACCCATCGAACAAACAGAGAGGAGGACTGGGAGTACATAATTGGCTTCTGTGATCGAGTCAACAAGGAACTGGAAGGGTATGTTTCGTCTTCATCTTTTGGGTGTTCCATCTTCAGGAGTCTCCACAGCGAGTCATCCTCCTCCATCTCACTCTGTCCTCACTCCAACTACCTCCATGTCCTCTCTAACTGCATTCACATATATTGTCTTTTTTCCTGGCAGCTGCATCTCTAACATCCTTCTACCAATATACCCACTGTCCCTCCTCTGGACATGTCCAAACCAATAYACCCACTSTCCCTCCTCTGGASAYRWCCAAACCAATATACCCACTGTCCCTCCTCTGGACATGTCCAAACCACGTCAGTCTGTCCTCTCTAACTTTATCTCCCAGTGCTTCAACCTGTGCTGTACCTCTGATGATCTCATTCCTAACCTTGTTTTATTATCACTCCCAAGATGAACCTCAATATCTTCAGCTCTGCCACTTCCGGTTCTGTCTCCTGTCTTTTTGTCAGTGAACACTGTCTTCAAACAATATGACATAGCTGGTCTCACAGCTCTCTTATAGGGCTGTTTAATTGGCAAGAATTTGGTGATATGATGCATATCAAGACACAGGGCTCACAATATATTATGATACTGTAAGCAAGGCAATATGTTGCCATTGTTTCTCCAAAAGAGTCAGATTTTTAAAAACTCAGTTTAAATTTTTGGGTGCAAGGCTGCAGAATATCTGACGATCAGTCACTTTAAATGAAACCAGAGAGCGTTGACTGAGAGGAGAAGGTAGAAATGACTCAGCCTGTAACTGAAAATATGGATGGAGGACAACAGAGCTGCTTCAWGGAAGGAGAACCTCAGCTTAGCCTGTTGGCTTTTAAGTTAGCGCTCAAGCTAATATATATAGCACCTTAATTAAACATTGATACAGTTCTTTTGAGAATTGATACATTATCAGTATCACAATTAGCCTGGTAAAAACCAGACCCTTGTCCTTCACATTGCTTCATACGAGGGTCTGGACTAACGGCCATAGAGAAGTGATTCTTGTTGGAGGTGTGGCCTTTGCTGAAGTGTGTGTGTTTATGTCGCTGTGAATAAGGCTAAGCTAAGAAGCTAACCGGAAATCGTGTGTGATGTAAACAACCCTACTGAGAGGAGAAAAGTACCGAGCTGAACGAGACGACTGTAAATGAGAGCTGCTGCTTTGTCAGACAAATTTAATTTAATTTGGAAGCCTTATCAACACRGACTGGCTTCATTCACTTCCTCCACTGCCATCGCTAACTAACTAGCAGACACTGCGCAGAAAATCGATGTCGTTCAAAACTCCGCCTTCTGTTTGCTGATTGGCCCAGGTAAAATAAACTRCAAGCAGACACTGCGCAGAAAATTGACGTTCTGTTCTCTGATTGGTTCGGCTAAAAATCTGCCAGTGAAATCCTTGTTAATGGGAAAAATCCCAGACGGAGCAGTGAAGGGAAACTAGAAYTGAGYRGAACTGCRTAGGAAGGCAAGGGCCAGGCTTTATCACAATTTATCAGTGTRTCGATATTTTCTTACACTGCTACTCTCTTATAAACCTTTGCTTTGACCTTTGTTGCCACCCTTTTGTCACAAATCTCTCCATCCACTCCGTCCTGCCTGGACTCTCTTCTCCCTTTACCACACTCTCTGTTATCTTGGACAGTCAACCTAAAGTACTTTAAAGTCCTGCTTCTTTGTGACCTCTGCTTCTTTGTGACCTCTGCTTCTTTGTGACCTCTGCGTCTTTGTGACCTCTGCTCCCCGTAGCCTCACTGTTCCACCTACCTCCCTCTCATGTACTGCTTTGGCTGACCTTCTTTCGAGTGCTCTTCTCCACCTCTCCAACTTCTCCACCTGTTCCTTGTTCTCATCACAGATCACAGTGTCATCTACAAGCATCATACTGTATTTCCAGAGGGACTCCTGCCTGACCTCATCTGTTAGTCTGWCCRTCCCCAGCGCAAACAAGAAGGGACTCAGAGCCGATCATTGATTCAGTCCCATCTCCACCCATCTGTCACTCCTACAGCGCGTCTCACCATTGTCCTGCTGTCCACATACATGTCCTGTACCAGTCTAACATGCTTCTCTGCCACTCCAGACTTCCTCTTGCAACACCGTGCGGGTTGGGAAGGGTATGTCTGATGGAAAGCATTAAAAAAAACCTAACTAATTTCTGATTTGTAAACGGAACTTTCTTCTTGCAGTCCTGAGAAAGCGAAACGTCTCCTTTTGACTAAAATCGCCTGTTCACAGGAGTGGGAGGCGCTTCAAGCTCTGACGGTAAGAAACATGTTGTGAACAAGTTTTATATACATATTGTTCACATGAATATCTTGTGTCCAGGTGTTGGAGGCATGCATGAAGAACTGTGGGAGACGGTTTCAAAAGGAAATCACAAGAAATCATTTTTTAACTAACCTGTTTCGTATCGTTTGGACAGAGGTGAGCTGTCTTTGTGAGACTTTAGGAATTTAAAAAGGAAACTGGACTGACTGCTTATCTTTCATCTTATATCTTTAAATTGTAGTATCTGGGCGACAGAACACCTCCAAATGTGAAGAAAAGGATTGTAGAGCTGGTGTGTAGCTGGACGGCTGCTTTTCCCAATGAAAAGGAATTTATTAAGACCTTCAAGGCTTTGAAGAGCATAGGTATCAAATAACTGGTATTATAAACATGTTAATGTAACACAATTTTCCTTAGAAGTTGAATCAGACTTCCCTCTCTTCGTCAGGCCTCGTGACGCCTGACATGGTGCTCACAGTGGACAGGACTCTGATTCTTTCATCTCCAACTCACTCGAATCACCCAGTGTTTGACAACAAAGACATGAACAAGGTGGGGCGCTGGAGGAAAATGTAATAATTCCCTCTTTTTTTGTTTAAATGATCTGGACTAACATTTAACCTAATGTCTTCAGCTGCTTGCTGAGCTTCTTCGCAGTAAAAACCCAGAGGATCTTCGGGAAGCCAACAGACTGATCAAGAGCATGGTGAAAGAGGTGCGGGACGTTGGTTTTGTAGGCGCTTGCTCGAGCTGCTGGGTTTTCTGACGTGAGCGATGTTTTCTGTTTCGTTGTGGTCAGGATGAGGCCCGCACGGAAAAAGTCACAAAACGAGCGCAGACTTTGGAGGAGGTGAACAACAACGTGAAGCTGCTGGCTGAGATGTTGTCCCATTACGATAAGGACACATCCAGTGACTCAGATAAAGAGATTATTAAGGTCTGTATCTTTAATAAGCCGTGAGGATATTAGAATCTTATTTATGTGTTGTTGTTTTTTTTTTGAGTATGGGTTTATCACAGTTTTTACAGTAAATCACCTCTTTTGTTTTTCCTCTCAGGAGCTTTTTGAGCGCTGTGATAAACTGAGGATTGCTGCCTTCAAGATAGCCTCTGAGACAGAGGACGATGACGCCTCATTAGGTTTTCTGGATTATTTTTTCCAAATATCTGTGTCTGTTAGCGAAAAATCGCATGAACTACTCAACATATTTAATTGAAACTCTCATAAAGTAGCCATTTGATGTTCTTCAACGACTGATTAAAGACGACAAGAGTCAAGATGGCTGCCAAAGCTCACTTAGCCTCAGCAAACACTACAATGATCATAACTGAAAGAATTTAGGTTCCCTAGGGGGAGAGAAAATAATTGAGAAAYGCTGATTTAAGGGCTGTTATTTCCATTTGAAGAAGCTTTCCTTTGTTTTCTGATGTTCGTGTGAATAACCCCTCGTTTGACCCGTCAGGTGACATCCTGCAGGCAACTGATGAGCTCTCCAGAGTCATTAACTCTTATAAGAAGCTTGTTGGGGAGGAGCAGGTCGACAGCAGCTCTGAGGATCAATCTACAGGTGTTCAGAGTGAGAGTGGTGAGGGATTTAATGTTTTATTAATCCTTTAATTGCAATCAACTCGTGCTGAATTTCACCCTTTCATCTGCCGTTTAGCAGTGACCACTGATACCCTGRTCGACATCAGCGGCCTCGATGACCCCGCCCCTCTCGAGCCGGTGCCCCCTCCCCGTCAGTCTTCTCCACCTTTTTTCACCAGTGACGTGACGCCCCCTATCCCTGTCCTGCCACCTCCTCCCGGTATCCTCCCGGGCAGCCATCTTAGAAGGCGTAGAAGAACATRTCACCCCTCCCTGGACTCTTCCTCCCCCCCTCCCTCATTACTCGATGATGAGCTGCTGTCTCTAAGTAAAGTATTATCATTTTAGCTTGTGAGGTTGAAGGAATRGACTTATTTGTTCAAATGAGTCACCGTCTCTTTCGGGGCACTGAAAAAACCAAAATGTTTCACTATAACAACAGCTGGTTGCTTGGCAACTGCTTCCTGCACATGTTGCAGAGGTAAAATAAGGACCTCCCCCTCCCATCACAGGTCAGAGCTTTATGGTATGAGCATCTTTTCAATGAGGAAGCAAATGCATCCTTTCAAATGTTYAGTGGTAGCTTTAGGTTTGAATCCTCTAAACCTTTCTTCAAATATTAAATCCTCCTGCCCATTATACTGTCACACAGGGCCGGCCCATAGGCAAGATTTCAGGTAGCACCCCTTGTGTAATTTTATAAATCTTACTGCTATYTACAAACATTCAAATTAAATAGTTTTGTCTTTTATATTATTATTATTATTTTATTTTTATTTTTTTATCTTTAGAAATCAGGTTTTCCATGTCTAGAAGTCTACCTCATATCTGCCAACATCTGCTGACAGCAGAGGAACACCTGTTTATGTTAACAAGCAGCTGTGGACTGAAGCAGTTCTAGGGGTGTTCAGGGTTATACTCCCCATGAAGGTTTTGTAAAATATCTACTCAAAGCTATGCATTTTCCAGACATTTGGGACTACTACAACAAAAAAAAAATCAGTATTTAATGAAGGCAGAACTCTGAAAACCAAACTTTAACTTGAACTTTGTCTCAGATAATACCTGAAACTTTCTTTATCCTTGTCTTGTTTTCTACACACTGAGCACCGGTAGTTAGTCTTGACGGCATCATATGATAATTTCATCACAAAACATCCTCTGCCCCACATAACACCTCATGTAGCAACAAGGCAGCAGAGAAACCCACAGGACAAGTTAGCTTCATAAACTTGAGTAACCAGTGACTATTCTATAAACTAAATCAGTTATATTCTGATAAAAAGTTATAAAATATGTATTTTGTCCCCAATTTGCAGCGCCTCCTAGATGGACAGCGCCCTTAGCATTTGCCTATATTGCCWATGCCACAAGCCAGCCCTGCTGTCGCATCACATTTCTGTTTTTAGGATGTTTMACATTCGTTTTTTGTTTTTTCCACCAGGTCTGAATGACAACTCTACCTCCGTAGAAAGTAGCAAACAAACAAAACCCATGTTGGAAGAACTCTCCAGGTCGTGGACTTCTTTGCAGGTATATTAATTGTAACTAACTAGTTTTTGAGAGCGTGTAAACAGGGTAGTAAATAGTCTGATCTCTGTAGGCTCCAGCGTCAGGTGTGGATACMTTTGGGGGTGTGGCCTGTTCGAGTGTAGCAGTGGCCCCACCTGAAGCAGCTGCCGCACACAGTTTGCAGAGGCTCCAGGATCTGGCAATGAYCTGCTTTTCAGATCTCAAGAAGTGCGGAGACTCCATCGTTTCACAGATTTTGATAGAAATAATTTGATTTGTTTACATGAYGACCATGGGGTTTCTGTTCGATGTGACTTTCAGATCGCAGCCCAGACCACCAGGCRCCACGGGAAGCAGATTTGGGGCACAAGCAGCACCTTCACCTCCCCTCATACCCAGCCAGGGTGCTCCCTCTTCAGCCGTCCTCTGCCACTCAACGCCCGGCTCYCCTGCTCTGTCTCATTCCAAGGCARAAAGCCTGGCCATGGCGCCGGGGAGCCCACTGTTCCACTCTCTGTCCCCTGGTCCACTACATTTCCACGGCAGCCCATCCAGAGGCACAGACGCCTCCCTCAGCAACGTTCACGTCACTCTGGAGGCGATCAAACCCAGTGAGCACATCCAGGAGACGGAGATGGAATGAATCWGTTTCAAGTGTTTTCWTCACTGATTTGATGTTCTGTTTGTCCACAGGTAAAATCTTGCCTGTGACAGCCTATGATAARGATGGCGTTCGTGTTCTGGTTAACTTTGCGTCTGACTGTCCTCCCATGAGGCCCGACGTGTTAGTCATGGTGGTGACCACGATCAATACAGCGCCCCTACCTGTTCACAGTGTGGTACTGCACGCTGCTGTGCCCAAGGTAAACACTTTCAGACGAATAAATAAATAAATACCTCATCTCCAGCRTTGACCTGTCCTCGTCTCTTCCACTAGTCAATGAAGGTAAAGCTGCTGCCTCCATCAGGAACAGAGATGGCACCGTTTAACCCCCTGCTACCTCCAGCATCGATTACTCAAATCCTGCTGCTGGCCAATCCAGCGAAGGTAAGAACAGCAACACAGCAAAACATACATGTTAACGCCAGTAGAGAGAATGTGAGGCTTTTCCTAAAAAAGGCTCATCTGCCCTCGCAGGAGAAGGTGCGTTTGCGCTACAAGTTGACCTTCACACTGGGAGACCGTCTGTGCGATGAGGCTGGGGAGGTGGACCAGTTCCCCCTTCCGGAGACGTGGGGTCATCTGTAGAAAAAGAAAAGGAYGGTTCTTACTCTAGAYGTGATCCCAGAAAAAAAAAACAGGAGAAATACAGCTTTACCACCATCGATTGTTGCGTTGTGTTAACCATCTAGACCTGGTGCCTGTTTATATAGGTAAATACTGTGTTTGACAGGATTTTTCCAGTAATGAATCAAACACATTTTTGAATGTATAACAAAAATCAAAGCATTACATCCGAGCACTGGACTGAAATGTTGCACCGTAGCGAAACAAACATGGTCCGAGGATTTAACTTGAAAGGTATTTAGGAGCCAGCAGATTATTTATGTTTTCTGAACATTTTTGCAGTCTACGAACAAATACTTGAAAAACATCCTGAGATGTGAAAATGAAAACCTCAATCCCACGTTGCTTTGGAAAGAACCTCTGCTTTGAATGTTTTATTCACTGGGATTTTTGATATTTTTGTCTGACTAGTGTCTTACTTTCAAACTGTGCTGTTGTGGCTCTCTGCTCAGCTGATCTGTTGTTAAAGATTAAAAAAATAACTTCTCACTGCAGGTTAGCTGATCGGTCTTAAAGGAGACATATCATGCTTTTAAATTCTTCTTTTACRTATTTAAATCCTTCAGTTGGAGTCTATATRAAATGGAACTGCAGTGCTTTMGTCTGAATTCCTTTTTGTAACTCCACAAGCCCCTCTTTCACCCCTTTTCTGAGACTGTCTGTTTAAATCCAAACGAGGTGCTTCACACCCCGCCCACCTCCAGCTTCTCGACTGGTCCATTCTCGTTTGATAGAGTGGTTTACAACTATATAGCGGCATAGAAATGTTTTGTTTCCAAATTAAAAGATGTCAACAAGGGAAGACTTGTCCAGATAGAATATAAGATATCTAGGCAGCACTGGGAGASAGTAAATTCAACTTTTCTGAAATCCTAATGTAAGATAAAACTTTATTGATCCCACAGTGGGGAAATGTGCACGTTGCTGCAGCTCAATACAGGACAGGGTTTGATAAAATAAAAAAGATAAGTAAATGGAAGATAAAAAAAAACACTATACACATATAATGTTTAGCAATGGATATATACACACACATATACATCAACAGACACTGTGAAGGTGCACATAGGTGATGACAGTGGAGGTGAAGTGTCCAAGTGACTCATTACTTGTGTTATAGTCTAACTGCAGTTGGATGAATGATCTGTGGAAGACCTACAGACTCTAAGGACACAACAAAATATATTTAACAACTAAAAAGTGAATTTTGCATGATATATCCCCTTTAAGTTTAATGATTGTTAAAAAATAATGTATTTATCTGATTTTTTTAATAATGTAAATGGCAGTAATTTGTTGAGACAAATAGCTTTTTCGTGACATTTTTTGGCAGTGGGTTTGCTTGGAGTACTTTCATATTAATGTTGTTTATTACTTTCAGTGATAACGGATATTTTGAACTGGGGTTCTGTAAAAAAAAGTTATGAACAATTGATTATCCGTTAGCTCATCAATCTGATCAGAATTAAGACTTTGTTTAAACTGAGGTTGTTCGAAGAGCTATCTACAACAGGTAAGATATTAACTGTTGATAACTTTTCCACAGGACCCCACTTCAAGTAATTAAATCACCACTGTGCTGGATTCTTCAACCAAATGTGAACCTGAACAGGTTTTACTTTGAAGCAAGGAGCAGAGGGATGATGTGCTGCTGCTGTTTTCAATAATCTGTTCACTCTGTATGGCCTTACGTTAATATTTCAACATCTTCTCAGTTGATGAGTTTTTATGTTTACAGAATTTTACCATAAGAGATTAAAAAATTATTGGTGGGGGGGCATCATGAGCAGCCACCTCCAGGTTTGTTGACAGTTTGGTTGGATCTTCGGCACTTTGAAGACTGTTAATTTTTTTATGCCCTCACCACTCACATTTACAGAAGTCTACAAGCYCCCAACTTTCATTTTGTCCTGGCACTTTGTCTTATACAGATAAATGTCCTCTCAAACAGAATAAACCTGAGCAAATTCTGTCATGAATAGTATGAAATGCTTTGTAATTAAATCAATGATGAATATTAGTTTGACTTGCACCAAAAGAACATTTTGAATCTCACATTTTGAGAAAGTGAAGATAAAATTATGGCAAAAGTATGACTTTATTCTGAAAGACAACTAAAAGGAATTGAATGTTTCAAATCAAGTTTACATCACTGTCATTTCTTGGATATAAAAGTGTCTAAAGTGCACTTTATGTAATAAAAATAAAATACTTGTTTTTTTTCCCTGTGATTATGTGATGTTCTGTTTGTTTGCTGCATAAAAAAAGAATTTATYTTTTAACGTTTCTTGTGACGTAACTCTTCTTTCCAAAATAAACAATCCTGCAAATGTGATTTCAATGAACAGCACAAAGTATTTTATTATCAAAAAGTACACTTTGATGACTTTGTTTTATATACAGTACAAAACAAAAAGAAAAACAGCTTTCTTTTAAATATCAACCCTCCCTTCATGTTTCTATTGTTCCTTCTTTGACRATAGCTGAAGCCAAATTTCTGGCCAGAGCGAGTCTCAGCAGCTCCACTTTGGTCACCTCGATGTCTTCCTCCTGAAAAGACACGTAAATAAACAGTTTAGCATATGGTAGGTGCTACAGACAGTTATTCACCGACGTTTCATTTCATCCACACGTTACTTTGAGTAAAAAGACTATAAAATAAGACAGATTCTCAGCAAGGACCACCAGCTTAGCATGTTTGACTTATTGAACAAATCCAACCACATCTGAGCAGCTGACAGACTCGTGAGGACACGTTTACCTGCATGGATCTGTCTGCGGGGGGAGCTGCAGTGTTCAGTGAGGAGGTGAGCTCCTCCAAACAGTACATTAACTCGTAAGTTTGGTCTGCAGAGAAGATCACCTGAACAGAAGAAATAAAGGTACAGACCACTGTTGTTTGGGCAGMATTAATGATGATAAATCTGATCTGATCAAACAAAATGAAAATAAAAAAAGTAGTAAAATGAATGTGTTTTCCCTCTTGTGGCTAAATCTGACTTATTTGATCAGGTCGTCCACTGTAGCAATACAGYTGCCCTAAAATACTGTCACTTTAGCGAGCACATAATTATTGATATAAATTAGTTCAATATTTACCATCAGATAAATACCATGACTGTAAAACAAACCTTTTTTTATTTAAAGACCCCTTCCTTAAAAGTGCATACAAATCAAATCTATAGATGTAAAACGTTTCTATAACAGTTATTTACAATTTTAAGTTAATTTAGCACACTTGTCAAAGATCCATTTCCAGTCCTTAAAAATTTTAATCACCATTCGTGTTGCATCAAATTAAGTGCATACAGTACAACAACTCGGACTAAAACGATTTGAAACGGGAAACATCCTAACTTTTCCCGCCTTTTGTATAAACTTAACATTTAAATGTTATTTTGTCGTACACGCATCTTTAATTTGTCATGTGCTGGCTGACCTCTTTCTGCTCCAGCAGGGGAAGAGCATCGGTCAGCAGCGTCATCCAGAAGCTTCGAGGAGCGATCTTCGCCRTCATGAGGGAGAGGAGCAGCTTCGCCGCCTCCCTGAAATGTTTCTCTCCATACAGCTTGTGGAACTCGCGGTACTTTCCTGAATCATTGTAAAAAAAAAAAACATTTTCTGAATGTTAAAAACAGCACAAAGTAATATGTGTGTTAACATGTCCGCAATCACAAAAAAAGTAAAGTTTTCCACACAAAAACATTAGGAAAATTCAGGAAAAACTAATTTATGCAATTTGTTTTTGAAACAAATAAGAAGTGTCTCAGGCTGCAAATAAAAAAAACACATCTGCTAACTAGCTGCTGCTATGTATGTATATAAAAAACTAAGGATTTGAACTATTCGTTTCAAATTTGGAGGTCTAAAAACTGAATCTGCAGTCAGTAATTTTCCAAAGATGCTTTTCAAATAGTTTATCCTCCAGTAAACTTCATCACATGCTGTTCAACTGAGCACAACRCAGCTCTGTTTCTGTCCGGGACTCACATGACCGCTGAATAAAACAGAGATGCTGACTTGGACAACATCTGCTAACTGAATGTTCSGTCACTTCATGTTTGGCTTGAACTTGGTACACAGAGGGAGTCCTGTGTTACTAATACTGCAGTTTCCTCTTCATACCGAGGAAAGTGAGCCGGTCGCTGAGCARCATCGCCGGACCCAAGTTGTCGATCAGATCCAGATCAGAGAAGGCCCCTTTGGCGCAGTAATCCTGTAAGAACCTACCACAGAAACAAAAAGATTATCTCTAAAATTATTTAGAAAAGGGTAAACTCTAAGGAGAATATTAGGAAAATTCATGYGTCACAGAGCAAAAGGTTTGTTTGAAATCTTTTACACAGTTGTATAAAAAAATGAAATAACAACAGTAACAATAATAATAATAATTATTATTATTATTATTACCCTTAATGCTAACAACTTTATTTTTGATAGAACAGAAACATAAGTGTCCATAATAAAGAAAAATGTGAAGAACTTATAATAACTTAAATGTGTTTCTGGAAAAGTTTACTGTTTGGACATCAAGTCCACCTTTTTCCAGGAACTAACCTCTCTGAAATGAGGGTAGCAAAGGCAGCATCTTTAGCTCTGATGCTCCAGGAGAGAGCAGAACCCAGCCTGTTGTTCCTTAAAGCCCGCATGGCCATGATCTTACAGATACTCCTCACTGGAAAAAAACAAACARACAAGAGTTTTAAAACTGAACTGTACAGGAAAGATCTGACCCTTGTGCCTTTATATATGTGTGCTAAAAATGAAAACAAAAACAAGGAGGGGAAAAAAAAAGAGTAATTTTTGTCTACCTTGCTCTGACATTTGCCTCTTCTCGCAAATTCGGAGCACTTTGAGCGCTTTGCGTTCTGTGTCCAAAGGGACACGCTCGATCTGAAGCTCGAGATAAACACGGCCAAACTCAGGGCAGTGATCTAAGTAATCCACAGCACACTGCCAGAGACTAAAAACACACAAAAACACCAAGTTAGGAATTTGCTCAATTATAATGAACAGACTT